ATATATATATATATGAATAGGTGGGAGTTGTTAACAAGAAACACTTTTAGATCACCACAAAACATAGCTTACAAATTCTCGTATAATCGAAAAACATGTATATTGGTGGGGTTACCATTATCCTTCTTGTAGCATCCAACAAAAACAGACAATGTCATGTACATACTTGGAATAAATATATAAATGTAACTGAAAGTTTTAAATTATTTAAACCCACGTGCAGAATTACACAATTAAAAGCAACAAGTCACTTTTTAATTGTTTCTCGATGATTAGATCAAATAAGTCAATTTATCCTAAATTTGAATACCACAATCAATAATTAAAGCAATAAAGAACACCAAAGATGATCACGAAGAAACCCCAATTGGGTAAAAACTCTGGATATTTTGTCAGTCAATAATCCACTATAAATCGAAGTAAACTTAAATATGGTCCAGACTCATCCACCTCGTAGAACTTCTGACCTCAATTCCTGTAGTCTCCATTTATCCTACTAGAGGTGTGCTCCTTCAAAACAAATTCCGACTCCTGGTTTATACCTTAGCCCTCCTAGACTGTGCTCTTAACGCCAGATCCCGACTCCTGGTATCTCACATTAGTCCTCTTGAATTTGTGCTTTTGCAACAGCTCCCGATCTTTGGTATCGATTTATCTCCGGTGGATTAAATAGTTTGGTGTTTGATCAAAAGATCTTGTGTGTTTTGATCTATGGTTTAATGTGGAGCAATATGGCTAAATCAATAAATCAAAGTTTGGATGAAATTATGACTCAAATAATATGGTGGTTGAATCTTTAAGTCAATTAATGTGTTTTGGATTTTCAATTGAATAATCTCTATGAAAAATATGATTCAACACACTTTTGGACGTTCATAAGGTAGGATATATATAGGAAAAAGTGTTTGGGATGAAAAGCGATTGAAAAACCAAGTGTTTGAAACAAAATAGAGTTCTGAAAGTCGACATGTCACTCGAGCACCAAGCCGCAACATATAAGCAACAGCTGAGCAATTATCGGTATTTTTATCATAACTTTCTCTCCCGATATCCAATTGAAGTGATTCAAAATGCATTGGAAAGAAAACTCAAATTGTTACAATTATTATAGAAATAGCCTTATCCAAGTTCCCATTTTTTTCTATGTGAAAATGCGTTTCAGGTTGCGACTAAGAATTTGAAACATAATTTGTACAGTTCTTTGACACTCTTTGGATTTCTAAATGCTTTCAATGATCATATGTGATCTTCTTGAACTACTTCAAGAACTATACTACCAACCCAACTCTTTTGACTTTAATTAGGATTCTATAACTCATATTTTGATTTTGATTACAACTGGATAAACTCCTAATACAATTCCACTAGAACTTGATTTTGACTAAGAAAATTGCCAATTATAATTTGAACTTAAGAGTAACATTAAAAGTGGAGTCATCTTCTACTACCATCATCGAGTGATTCACAACTTCTCAAAATGTAACTTCACAAACGAACATATAGTTCAGCAAAAATGAACCTACAAGACAGACACACTATTTGTGTCTGTACGATTCTAGTTGCCTACATTTATTGTGCTGGCGGGCCACTCATGAATCGGTTATGTACTGACAATTCTTGCTCTGCTGGCTTTTATGGGAGTGAATTTTTCACTATCTAATTTTGTTTCGCCACTCATGAATCGGTTATGTACTGACAATTCTTGCTCTGCTGGCTTTTATGGGAGTGAATTTTTCACTATCTAATTTTGTTTCACAAGAAACTGAGAGCGTTGGGTTTGGGCAGAAAGGTAAAACGAAGAAATTTGCAGTGAAGGTGGAGGAAGGGATGCCATCAATTGGTCCAGTTTACAAGAATCTAATGGCGGAACATGCATTTCCAGCCACTGATCCAGCTTTAGGCACTGCTTGGGAAATCAATATAAAGTTCAACCATAAAATTTGGGCTTGCAAATTCATTAGGAAATGGAAACCTCTAACAAGTAAATTGTTAAATATTTTGAAATATAAATTGAATTAATAAATAATATATTTTTGGTAAACAAGTCATTTTTAAAAATAAATAAAATTAGAGTAAACAGTTCAATTTGATTTTTTTGAGTTTTTAGCAATTGACACATAAAAAAATCATTTCCAAACAATTTTATTAGGTTTTGAAATGGTCGAAACCTAAACCACTTGAATCCAAGCCAACAATTTCGATACGATTTGATGGATTGACCTTGGTTTGTGTTGGAAAAAAATTGGAAATAAACTGAGTTGTGGTCTGACTTTGGCGCTAATTTTGAGCTAAACCCGCTTGGCTATCTTGGAAAATGAAAATTGATTTGTGTTCTCCTCTGTGAGTACATCAAAATCATATACTTACTTGTCAAAAATGATGCTCGAGTAAAAGAGAAATTGAAGTTCAAAATATGCCATGTGAAAGGAGTTTATGTTGATGGGAAAACTAAAAATAAGGTTTGTCTTACATAAGAAAGTGGATAAAAACTAAAACCACTTTATAAAGGATTACACTTTAGAATGGTGTAATCATATGTAGCATAGAAGCTCTCTCCACATGCGCGCGCAAGGGGATGCAAATCTTGGACCGAAATAGGTTTCGGACCTTGAACTTGTGTGCTGGCGCGACTTGCGTACACGAATGTTGGATCAAAAGGAGCAAAATTGGCCACTTAGGAGTGTTCGCGTTTTGCTACAATTTTGTTAATTTTCAACGGATTTTTGATTTTCCAAAACTGTTGAAACTTCTGTTTTAATTGCTATGCAATGAATAGGCAACCAGTCTTTAAAAATTAAAACAATTTTCATCTGCATACAGTTTCTGCTTTCCTACATTTTCTATTTCTGTTCGAATTTGTGGTGATATTTTTTAGACACTTGTTCATTTCGTCGGAGTAGAATCTGTTGTGCTCGAATTTTACTGATTTCTCTGTTGTATCCTGAGAAACAGACGCTCGTATCATACCTCAAACACGTCTTGTTGATCGTTTTGCATATTACTGTTCTGCAATTATCTTTTAATTGTTTACTGCAATTACTTGTTATATAATTTAATCTGTTCTAATGTGCAAATACGATAACTGTTGTAAATACCATGTTTAAGATATTTTGCATCAAGTTATAAATTGTAAATTCGGTATCCATAAAATTGAAACAACTATCCTAAAGTTTGTTCACCCTTAATCTCTTGGACTAACTATGTCAAGTTGACAAAAATATCATAATCATATATACAACAGCTTTCGCAACTTATGATTTACTCTCTACAAGTCTACTTTTTACATTTCCATCTTTAATAAATTTTAGGTTATGAAATATTACCTACCTAAATAAAACCTATTCTAAGAAAATTTCTAAACCGATTCACGCACAGGAATTTCAAACCTATATCATCACGTTCCGTATTCCTCTCCCCACAACCACATCAGTTAAGATCTTACCTTAATCACCCCGAAACCACACTGTCTTCTTAATTTTCTCGAACTTCTCTCTATAATTTACATCGGCATAAAAAGGGGCGATCTATCCTCTCTAAAAAGGCATGAATCTCGCACCCGAATCTACAAATAGTGCAGATGCAGCAGATGGGACCGTTTCTGCACAAGCTTGTGCTGCATGCAAATACCAACGAAGAAAATGCGCACCCAATTGCTCTTTAGCCCCGTACTTTCCTGCAGACAGACAGAAAGATTTCCTCAATGCACAGAAGCTTTTTGGGGTCAGTAACATCAAGAAAATCCTTAGAAATGTGAAACAAAACGAGAAAGAAAGTGCAATGAGATCGATTATTTTTCAAGCCAATATGCGAGCAATTCATCCTGTTGGAGGGTGCTTTCATGTAATCAAAGAGTTAGAGAGTTATATACATTTTTACAAGGCGGAATTGGATTTTGTTCTTCGTCAAATAGCGATTTGCCGGGCTCAGGCTTTAGAGAATGAGATTCAGAATATGGGTTCTTATCGGAAATTAGGGTTTGATAATCAAGAAGTTGAAGGAGTGAAAATTGGTATTGTGGGAACTTGGGACGATCAGCCATTGTTGGTTGAGAAAATGGAAGATCTTAAACCGGATCTTGGTGCATTCAAAGAAAGACAGGTGCAAGTTCAATTTCAATCTAAAGTATCAAATTTGGTATAGTTGAATTATTTTTTGAAGATTCTGCTACCTATTTGGTGTGGTTACAAAAGATTTAATCGTATTATATTTTTATCGTAGATTACTTGTACATATTAAGCCAAGTATGAAACACATATCTAACTTTTTTCAGAATAAGTTTTATAATTTTAGATTTTACACGGGAATAGTAGTGGGGTCTCAAAAAGATTTATTAAAAAATAGTTTGTTATTTCATTTTTATTCTATGGACTTAGGGAAAATTGATGACAAAGGTAAAAGATTTGACAGTGATTGATTTTCTTGTAGTTGTAGATGTACTTACTTACATAAATTTTTAATAAATTCTTATTTTTTTTATTTTTTGTATTATTCATAGCTTTTCCCACAACACTCTTTTTGGGGGTGAGAAAATGAATTTAGTCACTACTTTTGGGTTGGTAAGTAATATTTTGTATTAGTTGAATGTTTTTACAAATGTACTCTTCTCTCTTCAAAATGTTACCAAATTCTTCCCTTCCTTTTTATACAAATTTTGAACTATGACGTTTTCATCAAACTAAGCAAAGCTGGCAAATATTTCTAGGAGACTAGGACCAGGGGGCGAACCCAATTCATGCTCGGTGCAGGCATCTGCCTGAACTGAGCTTTTGGGCAACCTAGCCCACTTAAGCGCTAAAACAGAAGTCTTAGAAGCATAATTGTGTTAAATTGGTGGGTGAGTGCTGACAATTCTTGTAGCCAACTAAATTTTATGGGGGGTGGTTGATGTACATTGCTGAGGAAAAATGCATTTTATAATATGATGTGATAGAAAATATGTAGTTAAAAAATAAAGAAACGTTTTGAAATTGCTTATAATATTATTTCTATATTTTTATTAATTTCGACTGCACTGAAAAAAATTTCCTAGGTTTGTCCTAGTATAGGACAATCATTCCATCAATTTCGTCTAGATTACCTTGATGATATTTTAATAATATTCAAAAATAAGTTTTATTTTCGCCAAAAAAAAATAAAATAAAATACCTTAATTAAATTGCAGGTTCAATTTGCATTAATTATTAGCTCCGTTACAATTTTTGAACTTTGAATCCACTTGTCAGCTTCGCTACACACCAATTGCAGTTTGACGCAAAATATTTACAGACTAAAAATTAATCTATTTGTATTTCGCCAATTATTTCATTAACATTAATTTTTTACTAAATTTTTTGATCTTTTATATGGATCCCTGAACGTGTAAAATTTAATCTCTCATGTCTTTGTGAAAATAAGTAATTCTTGTCATGTGGATTTCTTGTGTTTGAATGTTTTAGAAAAAGGAGTCGAAGTTGAAAAAGAGAAAATTTACTAAGTGAGAATTCAGAGGCGATTACCAAATTGGAATTTTCTAGTTTTTAATTTTATCTGCCAGTGAGTTTTTCCAATTCGTTCGTTGGCTAGATTTTTATGGCGGTTGATTCGATTTGTAGAGGTGGGTTTGTGGTGCAATGGTGTTTAGACTGAGATGTGATTAAGTCTTTGTTAATTGTGACCCTATCTGATCAAATTTGTATTAATTGTGATCAAATTTATCTTCATTGTAACAGTTAAGGCAGACATGGTCATAGAAAATCACATACAATTTACACATATATGGTGACAAACAATAACGTTTTACACATATCTGATCACAAACAGCCACTGTTAAACAAAACATGATCACATATAGCAAAAAACAAACAATATATGGGTCACATTTATGCTGAAATTTTATGAAATACAAAAATCTATTCAGAAATTTTGATTTTTTATGTCACAAGATTAATTCAACATTTCACATGAACGGTAAATCTTATTTAAATAATCTTCCAATTTAACCTTAAAAAAAATATACAGTTTGTGTGCAAAAGCAAGCAGAATACCTTGCATTAGCTTCCATAGCTAGTGAAATTGTTTGGATTCATCAATTGCTTCGAGATTTTCAGGTTCCTTCATCAACTCCAGCACTAATCTTTTGTGATAATCAAGTTGTCATCCACATAGCTAAAAATCCTATCTTTCATGAAAGAACAAAACACGTTGAGATTGATTGTCATTTTGTTCGTAATAAGGTCGCTAAAGGTTTTATCAAACTTTTGCCAATACGCACCCAGCATCAATTGACAGATGTGTTTACCAAAGCTCTGTCGACCTTTCTTTTGTTTTCCTTATTGTCCAAGATGGTGGTTACTGATTTACATTGTCCACCTTGAGAGGAGAGTGTTGGAATATAAGTCGATAGTTGAAGTTTGTAATTCAGTTAGCAAGTTGAGTTAATTAGGTAATGAGCTGTAAATATTATGTATCTTGTTTCTTTCTGTTTTTCGATTTTTCCTTCCCTTTCCTATTTATACTTCGGCTGTAATACATTTGTAAGTAATTTTGGAATGAAAAATTTTTCTTCCATTTCATAGCCTTGATCTTCAATAAAATATGTAATTAAAAATTTATGAATTTTAGAAAATGAGGTTCATACACAAACTACTCATAATTGAAGACCTTAGTGGAAAGTTATTCACCATCATCTCTTGAGTTTGTGGTTAGGTTCCATTTCCTGACATGAATGATTAAATACATACTTCACCCTATATGGAAAATTCAATCAACTACACTAAGCCTCTGCCCCTCTGGTTTTGTTGAAAATTAAAATGTTATTATATTTTGATAAAAGTTAATGATATCATTAGGAAGCTGAAGTTTGCTCTAACCTAGAACGTTTGTCTATTTCGGTATAAAAATAATAATAAAATTCAAGTAAATCACGAATTTATGACTGGAAATTTTTAAATAATATCAATGAAACGACAAGAAAATGCAAACTTAAATACATCCCAAATATATTTGAAAAAAAGAGGTATAGCTCACCACCTATCAATTATACTAAAAGATACCTCATTTTCTCTCAATTCTTGCTCAAAAAATAAAATAAAATAAAAATTATGAGTACTATAATGTCAATAAAAAAATAAGTGGCAGTGATAATAAATAATTAAATTAGCGAAAAAATATTAAAAGCTCCATTTCAAGATCTTGATTCTCAGATCAACCTTACACTTTGCATTAGAGGTGTTGGCAACGGCTGGATTTTTACCCTTTGGCACACTCCCGTGAATCCTATCACAAATGACTCGGATCCCAATATTTTTCACCTTCAACTTTTCCATTTTCACTTCCAAAATAGTGTCCATTAAAATCTTCATCGGCAGCCCTTTTTTCTTCTTCAGATCTGATTTTATTGAAGTTACAGAATCAACATCAAGAATCTGGGAGGATAGTCCGGTAGCGGTGTGAATTATGAAGATGTTGTTTGGTGAACTGGTGAAATTTGAAAAGGAGCCAGTTGATAAATTTACTTGGTTGGAAAATACTGCGATCGAAATGGGATTGTAGGTGTAGATGATTTTTTTGTTCGGGTTTTTGGAGGAGATTGTGAGGTTGAATTTTGTTGTCAGGTAGGTGGTGTCATCGACAGCATTGGTGGTGAGATTGAATTGGGTTATCTTCAGGGAGCTGACCGAGAATTCGGGGCGTTGGGGGTTGTAGAGGACGTAGAAGCCGGCGCAGCAAATGGCAGCTAGAAGGAGGATTGCAATGAGGAGGAGGATGGACCAGAAGAAGGTGAGGCAGCAGCATCGGCGGCAGGTGAAGCGGCGGCGGTTGTGGCGGTGGCTAGAAGTGGGAGTGGGGCGGTAGGGGTGGTTGTTGATGTGGGTTTTGGTTGCCGGAGGGGATTTGAGTGGTGGATTGGTGGTTGCTACGGCGGGTGTGGCGGTGGCGGTGGCATTGCCTTTCCCATTTGGCTTGCTTGATGGGTGAACTCTGTCGGTCATATTGGAGAAGATCTAAGGTTGGATTTCGAACAAAAAGTACTGTACTATAGTGTGCTTTTTAGCGTGCGTGAAAGAGGGAGAAAATGGAAGAATATGGGTTGAGAATTGTAGCCTTTAACAACTACGGATGGTTCCACCGCACCGAAGTGTGTGAGCTCGCACTTTAGATTTGTTTGTTTCTTATATTTTGTATTTGTATTTATAGGTGAGTGATGGGTTGTTTTTGAACAAGAAAAATTTGACATCACATTCATTATCGTTATTGATTTTTACAATATCCTTTCATATCCCGATTTTGACAAAAGAGGAGAATGTCATTCATAATGTCAACGAGAATACACATCTAGATTTATGCTTCGAACAAGTTAGTTTGAAAATATAAATGGTTAAAAAAGAGACGTATGATATACATGTTGGTCATTTAATTATCAAAATGGAGGGAATGGCGAATTTTCTTCGTAATTGAAAGTTTAAAAATATATTATGCTGAAAAAATGGTTAAGAGTAAATTTAGAGCCCGTTTGATAGAGATTAAAATTGAAAAACTAGTCCTTATTGTTGACTTTTATTAGACGAGTGAGACCTAATAACGGCTATATTTTTAATTTTATTTGGGTTTTAATCAGTACCAAACGAGCTCTTATTATCTTTCGTAAATGTTGTAGAAGAAAATTGTAATTTTTCTTATTCATGCGTTCTCGAACAATATTAGAACAAGGCATTCAAAAATTTGAAAGTATTAAGTTATGTTTAGCGGTCATTATTGTGTAAAAATGATGTTTTGAATATTGATTTTTTAAAGAATATATGATTAAAAAGTGTAGAGAAAATTTGAATTTACGTGTAAAATATTTTATTGTGCGAATGTGTGATTAAAATTGAATATGAAAAATAAATTATTTTATTTTAAGGGGAGTGTGAAAAATAAATTGATTTATTTTTAAAGGGAGTCAAACGGACAAATTATCTTTCAAAAGATTACATTCATACTTTGATAATGTATCTTGGCATGGATTTGACACGTGGGCAATTGGGTGGTGGTGGGGGACTAGGACTATTCAGGTTCAGGTCGCACTGGAATTTGAGGAAAAAATTCAATGACATTTTTTTTTTTTAAATATACCTTTTATTTTAATATTATTATATTTTATGTTTAAAATTATTTTCTAC